CATGTCAGGTTTGTCTCTCCAACTAAAAAGGGAAAATCAGGACTCAAGGAGATCCCTGCACTACTCCCTCAACAGCATCCTAGTGCTAAAGCCAGAGGAGATTGAGCAAGAGCAATTTAGCCACATCACTAAAGTCTTGAGTGGAGAATCCAGCCAAAACTCCAATATAATAATAATAATAATAATAATACTTTATTTATTCTGGGGCGAGTCCCTTTAGAATATAGAAAGACAATAATGTGGCCTAAGGAGCCTTAGAGATACATAAACAAAAATATAGAGTAATTAAATAGTCAAAATAAAAAAAAAAAAATAATAGAAAAAATTATAAGTTACTTACTTATTTAGATCAGTTAATAATAAAAAATAGAAAATTGAAAATAAACATGAAATAAAAATAATGAAGAACGATCTAATGATTCATATACATATTTACAGTAGTAAATATTTACAATTTTATGGGGACTGGATGGATAAGAAATGATTGAACAGGCAGGATTTAAAGGTATGAATGGCTTTGGATTGACGGATGTGGGGAGGGATGGAGTTCCATAGGAATGAGGATCCGATAATGAACGACCTATCTATATTGTAATGATTTTTAATTATCAAGTTATCACATTCAAAAAATAAGTTAAGAGTTAAAATAGTGGAAGGAAGGATGCAAAGTTGTCTGTCAGTTCTAGGGAGCGCTCCAGTTTACATCTCTACAGCCATTAGAAAAGATGAACCGGGTTAAGAACACCTTTAGTTGACGGAGCAGCCTACGTTTGGAACTACCATAAAGACAGTCCAATCAAACAGTATATTATATTTTCTTGTATAATAATAAGATTATATTCATTTGATAAGATATAAGATATATATATAACATTATTATGTTCATAAATGTTCAATTTATTAAATAGAATATTAAGTCTATCGATCTTGTTTGTTTCATCCTTAGAATTCACAGTTCATGAACCAGTTAAGGCCTCAGCGTCCAGTAAATTTATAATTCAATATTTTTAGTTTAATACATTTTTATAAAAATCAGAACAATATACATACTACAAAATGTCCCGTGGTCACTGCCATTTTACCTTCCTGGAGGATTATAGGGATGTGTGGTGTTAGCTAGATAGGGATTATGCAAGGGGATTGGGATACATAAGATTCTAGTGAAATTTAGAGAATTTTTCCTTGAAAAGGTCTAGGACAAGTGGGATGTTAAGGTAATAGTGTAGGATACATAGAACTTGTTAGTTACATGGTTGAACGGAGCATCGACTATAGTTCGAAGGACTTTGGACTGAAAGGATTGGATGTGTTTGATGTTAGAAAATGTTGCTGTTCCCCACAGTTCTAGTCAGTAGGTCCAAATAGGGTTCAAGATAGTGATGGGCAAAATCGTTCTTTTTAAGGAACTGATATCTTTAGTTCAGTTCATCTTATTGAACTAGTTCATTAATTCACTCCGATTTCAGCAATACTGAAGCAATATCCACTATTTTAACTCTAAACATATGGTACTAGATCTAGTACCATCGTGTTACAGTAGATGACAAAAGTTGTAGTTCACTAAATGAACTATTACTGTCGACATCTACTGTAATACAGATGGTACGTACTAAATATGTGAGATCCTCTGCTCCAATTTTAATATATTTTCAGTAATAACCATCTGTATATTTGAATACATATTTATGTAATAAAATCTAATCACATAAAATTTATAACTTCATCGTTCTATGAAATAATACTAAATTATCAAAAGTACTCACCACGACTTATGAAATTAAAAAGACAATAACAACAATGCACGTAATTAGTTGTTTCTAATTAGAATAATGAAATGAAGCTCAAACCATTCTAAATAAAATTGAAACTAGAGACCTATTGAACTAGAAAGAGAGAAAGAGGTTTCGATCTTCTGAACTAGCTAGAGTTCATCGAACTAGAGAACTAAATTAGTTCCTTTAGGTCTTGGTATTCCTAAGTGAACTGTGAACTAGCTAGTTTAAATGAACTACAACTGGCACCATCTACAGTAACAAGGATGGTACAAGATCAGTGAGATTACCTGCTCCAATTTAAATATATTTTCATCATCATCATAGTTGGTGCAATAACCCGTTAACGGGTCTAGGCCCCCTCCAAAAGTCTCCGCCAGTTGGCTCTATCTGTTGCTGCAGCTCTCCAGTTCCTAATGCCAAGGAGATCGCGTGCGTCCACTGTGACAGTCAGCTCACCTGACATTTGGCCTACCCACTCTTCGTTTGCCATGAAGCTCTTCAGCCAATGTCCTCTTAGGGGTCTCGTCCTCCTTCATCCTTGCAACGAGGTCCGCCCATCGAAGTCTCCCTTTCTTGATCCACTTGTTGATATCAGGATCTCTGTACAGTCTTGAGAGTTCCTGATTCTTCCTCCTTATCCAGGTGTCTCCCTCTAGAACCGGGCAAAATATTCTTCTCAATATCTTCCGTTCAAACACCAGAAGAAGGTACTCACTGGCTCTAGTGAAGGCTCAGGTCTCTGACCCATACGTAAGTACCGGACAAATCAGGGTCTTATATAGGCCGATCTTGGTCTTGTTGGAGAGATGTCTGCTTTTGAAGTATTTTGCTAGCCCAAAATAGCTTCGATTGGCTGCGACAGTTCTTCGGTTGATCTCCTGGGATATGTCATTTTGAGTGTTTATTTCTGAGCCCAGGTATAGGAAACTTTGCACCCTCTCAAATCTATATGGCCCAACTTCAAAAAAACCTGTCCCTACCTCTGATGGTCCTATTCTTAAATACTTTGTCTTTGCTTCGTTGATGACCAAGCCAAGAATTTTGGTATCTTGTTCTAGAGCCAGGAATGCTTTTTTTAGGGCACGCTCAGATCTGGCAGCTATGTCAAAGTCATCTGTATACCCCAGCAACTGGACCGCACTGTTGAATAAGGTGGCCCGTGTTTGGATCTTTGATCTGCGTACTGCTCGTTTCACCACCAAATTAAAGAGAAGGCATGCAAGAGCATCTCCCTGTCTCACGCCGATGTTTGTGGCAATAGGTTCAGAGAGGTCAGATCCGATACGAACCACGCTGTTCGACCCCAACATGGTCATTCCCACCAGACGAATCAGCTTCCTGGGAATGCTCATTTCTTCTATAGCGCCTGATAGAGCTCAGGTCGGGTTATGCTATCATATGCAAACTTGAAATCCAGAAAGAGGTGGTGCGTAACCATCCTATATTCCTTGGCTTTTTCCAGAATCATTCTCAGGGGAAGATCTGGTCCGTGTGTTGACTAACCCCTTCTGAATCCAGCCTAGTAGTTTCATATCTCTCTTTCAGCATGGGGAGTGAGTCTATCGAAAAGGATGTTTGACATCACCTTGTAGGCACTCGAAAGGAGGACAATACCCCTGTAGTTGTCGCACTCCGTTTGGTCACCCTTCTTATGAAGTGGACAAATAACAAATAATTCCTTGTCTCCAAATTTGTGGCATCCTTTCTTCTTCCCATATTGTAAGGATGAGGTTGTGGAGTTCCTTTATAAATTCCTCGCCACCATAGCGAATCATCTCCGCTTGTAAATATATTTTAAGTAATAAAAATCTGTATAACTGACTTCTGATCAATATTATTTAATAAAATTCATATTAATTACCTATTTTTGGTGTATGTTTAGAATTATAAAAAAAATAAAAGGAACGCAACATTTCTGTCTTCATCCTTTGAAATATTAATATGTTTAAAAAACTGTCAGTCCATAACTTCTGTTAAAGTATTTTAACTTACCTAATATTAAAAATACGATCATCAAAAATTATTTTCAATGATATCAAATCCTTTTTTTAATCTCCGTTTCAGTATAAGGACCATATGCCTTGGCCTTCTCTTCACATTTCCTACAGAAAACAGCAACAACTCCTATAATTTTATTTTTGTGGTAGTTCACGGGAACTATAGTTCACCAAAAATAAGACCGATCTTCTCAGTTCCTTTTTGTGAACTAGATGATTTGAACTAGTTCGTTCACGAACTGCTCATAAGTAGTTCACGATTGTCATGTAGATCAGTAATTTGTTGTCTATTTAAAGTTGATATTATCTAGTCAGTAATTTATATAGTTGGCTATATCATCGGTTAAGTTATTGTCTTTTGAGTCGTCGGTTCAACCTTAGTCTTCAGTTTATCTGAGAAGGGAAGTGGTATAGAGTTAAAAAAATATTGGTGGATTGGATTTATGTAGGTGTGTGAAAGTGATATGCTTACATTTTGAATCATTTACTTTAATAAGTCAATTACTATACCAACGTTCAATTGGAGAGAGAGAGATGCCTTTGTAGATTGAAGGATACTATTTCAGAATCTGAGTTGGATGATAGGACGGCAGTGTCATCAGCAAATGTTGCCAGGAAGATATCAGGTTATTAGGATGGATAGGGATATCAGCAGTAAAGGACAGGACCCAAAATGCTAGATAGAAGAACACCAGCCTCAACTGAATAGCAACTGGAAAATCCTGTACCGAAGTGAACAGCAAACAACTCCAAAGGTGCTATCAGAGACAGAAGCGGAGGACTAGGTATAACGACTGGGGCAGAAGAGTTTTAGCTTGAAAAGCAGCCTGGCATGCCATACCCAGTTAAAAGTTTGTGCTATATCCAGAAATTCACCCAAGCAATATTTTTTGCTTTCTAGAGCTGAGGAAAAATGATCAACCACTGCTAGTCCTTGTTGGATTATGGAGTATTGTGAATGAAACCTGAAGTGATGGGAAGGAAGATTTTGGGATTTTATAAAGGGTAGAGATAGGTGAGTAAGGAATGTTGAAATTATAAGGGTGAAAACTATTGTCAGGATTGTGTCAGTATGGTCATAAAGGGAATGTCCTTACCATCTCTGATAAATATAGACAGATAGATAGATCATAGATAAATAGATAGATAGACCATCTCTGATAAATATTATTAGTTAATAAAGACTTTCAGTGAAATAAATCCACTTATTTCCAAAAAGTTGCTATACCTGTAACTTTCTTTTCGCAGTTCCAATAGTATCAGTTGTGAAAATGGGCAGTTTAACATCCTGGCATGTAGATGAAAGTCGCAGTTTAAGTGTTATTTCAGTGCCTCCTTCAACAGGCTCTGTAAGAAAATAATAAATGTTACATGCAGAAACAATCAATTATTGAAAAAAATGAAACATAAAATAGTTTCAATAAGGAAGAAAGTTAGTTAATATGTCAGTCAACATGAAGTCATATAAAGTTATGTAGCGATTTTAGACCTCCAAGTAGCAGAGCATTAGGAAACTAATTTTTTTTTTTTTAAATTAACATTTAAGGTTCTCTTCTAAATTAATAGTTTAGTTATAAAATTCAAGAATAGCCTCTTAATCTACTTCCAAATAACATTCATTCCGACTTATTTTAAGAGAAGGTTATGATGTGCTGAAAAAATTGTTATTTTACATATATCTTTATTTTATGTTGCCTACTACATTTGGTAATTGAAATTCCTGACTTTTTCCAAAAATTCTGTATTTCACATATATAAGAATAAATTAAAGAAACATCTAATTATAAATTGATTTACTTCTTTTCCAATATTTGGCTTAATTTAGTCATTATTGGCCTTTTAGCTTATACCACAAGAAACATCTGCCAAGTAAAGCCAGTATAGCTTCCTCACCATTTTCATTGGCTGAACAATATCTATATTTCAAAATCTATAATTTTTCGTAGGAGATAAAACCTCCGGGAGAAGCCATTTTGGAAATACAGTAATTCCTTAACATTCACGGGTTTCATATCCATCAGCAAATACTAAAATGCGAAATAATTCTACTTTTCCAAATTGCATATTGATAAATCGTAATTAAAAAAAAAAATCGCTGTACATACTGAAGATGTAAATCACTAGTGTTAGTAAAAAAAGTTGTATGTAAAAATTAAGTGTTTTAAGGAGAGTATAAAACTAATTATTTCTTTATAATTTATTAGTGTAATTAATTTTTCTCTACTATTTTCCATAGTACCAGACTACCTATATCAGTTGCATACTACAAATGCCACATTTAGCACCAATAGAATAAAAATGGAAAATTGTTACATACATCCTTTTACACTAACAGTAGCAATGTATACTTATAGGTGTTTTCACTAGTAAAATGAATAGAACAAAAAATTCAACTTTTTGTTTGTTCAGAGTTAACAAGACCAATATTTTCTCTCAGTCAGAACAGAACTAATTTAAGCTGGAATATAAAAATATGATTGAAATTCGCCCAACTTTGATGATTAAGGAGGAAATCAAGATCATGAACAAACAGCTAGTAGAGTTTCAACTCAAAAGAAACAAACAATTTTTTATTACTAACTAAAAAAGTAAAAACTAATCAAAATTTACTGAAAATTACATGAAATCTAAGCAAAGGCAGTAAGTGCCATGCTAGCAATATTTGAAATGGACTAAACAATACAGTATAAATCAACATTTTGAATAAAATCTAAAATATTATAACCTCATAAAAATATTGTATTAACCAAACCCCTATTCCATGTGACAATGCCTTCCACATTTCACAGCCATTATATTATTAATAGTTATTTATATTAATTTTAATTATTAAATTGAATTAAATTAAATTGGTAATAGACAATTTCTGAATTATTTTCCAAATTTCCTCCAAGTCTGGATCAAATCGAACTAGCCGTTTTCAAACTATAGGCATATCAAATAATACTTTTACTGATCCGAAAGCGAAAGTCTTTTTTTTGAGAGTAATGGATAGAATTTGATGAAATTAATACTTACCCAATTATCTGTCAAACATTCTTTAACTTCCCTCTAAATTTGAGCTAAATCAAACTAGTGGTTTCAGAGATATAGATGTATTAAGGAAAACATGTTTGCGCATATATAAGAGAAAGTAGATGAAGAAATTCAATAAAACTGATACAGAATCATTATTTTACCAAAACCCATCTTTCATTCAACTCAGAGCAAAATCGAACGAGATGTTTCAGAAATATTGGCATATCTATGAAAACACATTTACGACATTATCTGGTGGAACAAATGTATAGTAGATAGATGAAGAGAGTATTTTATGGAACTGCTAGAAGGGAACAGGGTCAGTTCTGATGAGATTCATAGAATAATGAAGGTTCATCATGACGAAGACGATTTTATCAGCAAGGAAGGATTATAGGAAGGAATTGGCAAGTTATCAGGGAAAAAATCACTCTGGAAATACCGCTGTACATAGGCAGCAAAGGTGTAGGAATAATTCTCTAATGCCTTTACAAGTAAGGAAATAAGAGGAAATAGCCTTCGAGACATATCCTTGTTCAGTGTGCTGATAAGCTCAATAATCAGCAAAGCTAGAATAAATAAGAAGAATTGTCGTTTGCCAGAGTGACATGGATTCATAAATTCAAAGTGCAAATAGCAACTGTGGTCATTGTGAGGCAGGTTGTAGACAAGTCCATCAGAAAAGGGAAATAGCTCACTAATCTGCTAAGTGAATCTGGAAAAGATCTTAGAAAGAATCAGAAAGGATAACATGGAACGAACTCTCCAGGAAGAACCCTTTGCGCAAAATTATTTTCATCAGAATAAACCTTCATCATCTAATCCGAACTGACCCAGCTCTCTTCCTTCTAGTAGCTCCATAAAATACTCTCTTCGCCTGTCCAATATAGATTTGTTCTGCTTCCATCATTATCCTTGTTTTCTTTTCACAGATTTTGGAGAATAAATTGTTTCCTCATTCGCTTAATTTTTACTAATCTTCTGGTTAACTTTTGAGACCAAATAATTGCAACGATTTTCGGATACCTATAAGAACATTTTGCTTTGTGTCTTTCCATCTTTTAATTTTGCGAATAGTACGAGAGCCCATGCAAAAATATTGACATTATCTGAAGAAAAGTTTGAAAGCATTCTTTTAAATATTCATAATATTTATATTAATAAAATGAGAATTTGCCAGTTGCACCATGCTACCGGAAAAAATGTTGATTAATTTAAAGAATATTAGACCAGTAACTTGAGGATCTAAACAGAAAATTTATTGGGAAAATGAAGAAAAAGTTTTTATTTTTTTTAACTTGCATATATGGGTTTTAACACATGAAAAAAAGCAACACACAACTTTCACTTACTCTTTGAACTTCGCTCAACTTTGAATAGAAATTATTTTCTGGCTATGTTGGGTTATTATAAAATTTTTGAATTGCATTTTTAACTGAGCTAAAGCTAAAAGATTACAGCTAACAAACCATAAATACTATTAAAATAACAAAAGTCCTACACCGGTTAATTATGGATTGTACGACTATTAATTATTAAACTGTTATTTTCCAGTGCAAAGTTTATTAAAACGGAATTAAGAGATTTACATTGTATGTCATAGACAGGTCAAAAGTTGTCACACTAATTGTATGTGGATTCTGTTGGAATATCGCAAAGGAAAAATTTACCAAATTATCCACTAATTTAATTTTCTAAAAGGTTACATGATGATTTTTCAGAATAAACGGACGATAGATACCTAAATATTTAACTATAATATCAGATCTAAAGTTATTAAACTACAGTATATATATTTAAGGTTATAAACGTATCTATGAAATATTTTTATATTTCACTTCTTCTTTCACACAAGTGCAATGATATAGTAGTGGATACTCTTAGAATATCACAAAGGAAAGATTCATCAAATTATTCACTAATTTAATTTTCTAAAAAGTTACATGACAATTTTTCGGAATAAATACCTAATTATTACCTAATTACCTAATAATTACCTAACGGATACCTAATTATTTAAATATAATATCAGATCTATTATCACTAAACTACAGTAAATGTATTTTAGGTTATAAACATATTCTTTATACATCCATGAAATGATTTTATATTTTACTTCTTCTTTCATACAAGTACAATGAAATAGTTTTTTTAACGATGACATTGCCTTGATTAAGTGAATTTTAAATATTTTCTACAAACGAAAAAATATTTCTTAAATTTTACGTTTAGTTAGTAAATTTCATTTAATTTCATTGAAAACATGTGATTTACGTTAAATATTATCAGTTTTAAAAAATTATTATTTATAATCTTTTTGCCGCTCTCCATTACCTTCTACAACTTTCTATATTAGATATTGTTTTTTTCTAAAATTCTCCACTTTCTAATGATATATTATAAGTATACCTTCTGACTTATATTTCTAGAAATTCATTTTCGACCTGTATAAGCATTTTAATTTTTTTTCTCCTTTATTCATTTATCAAATTCGTTCAAAAGTTATATTTAGCATTTTTTCGTAACTTTTAATAATGTGAGATGATTAATTATTTAAAATAAACCATATTAAAGGTACTTTAGAGAAAGACTCATACGAAAATTGGGCATTTAAGCTCTGTAAAGTGACATCAACGGGGATAAGACCTAAATGATATTAAAGGCCACTTAATTATACAGTGATACACTGAGTTTAATCAAAATCGTTAGAGCATTTTTTTAGAAAAATGTAAAAATGGGTTTCAGCGTTGATATAAAGTGGCACTTCCGGTTAGTCGATTTTAAGGACAATGTTGCCAAGACATCTTTCTTAAATATGTAAAATCAGTTTCGTACGACTTTTCGGTTTCGAGCTAGTGTTCACAGAAACACATACCATTTTTCAGGAGTTGGTTAGTCAGGGGATCTCAAAACGAGTATTTCCGTTGAAAACTCAGATTCAAAAATTTTCACGATTGCAATACTTGCACTTACATATATAGGTAAGTGAAAGTAAAACTTGCTAATGGGGGCCACCAAGGGAAAACTATATGAAATAGCCAAAAAAGCCAGATATTTCCGATTTTATTTTTTGTTTTTTAACGTACAACTTCCAAATGTTGCATCGAAAAACATACTCCTTAAGATTAAAGAAGGTTAAATTTGTTAAGTTCGTGAGTGTCCAGAAACTGACTGTATGTTTATAATCTTACATAGATTTATTGTAGTTTAATAATTCTAGATCAGATAATATATTTAAATAATTAGGTAGATATCTTCAGTTAATAAAAAAAAATCATGTAAAATTTTAGAAAATTAAATTAGTGAAGAATTCGATGTATTTTCTCTCTCTGAAATCACAACATTATCCAATTACAATTATCTATCAATGGTAGTTAATGAATATCTCATAACACCATTTTAGTAAACTTTACTATGAGAAAATAAGGTTGTAGTAACTGATAGTACAATCCATAATCATTTAAAGGTGAAATTTACAAATGCACTTTCAAATCTCTATAGGCATATAGAGGAAATACATGTACCTTGGGTCACTTTTTTTCAATGCTCCATAACTTCTAAAATAACTATAATTTTTAAAATTTCAAAATATAAATTTATTTATCATGCAAAGAAAAAAATTCATATTTAAAAATAAAAAATGACCTACGGTACAACTACTATAGTAGTTGTACCTTGGACTACAAATTGTACCTTGGGTAATGTTTGTTGTAATAAGATAATAATTGTTATTGAATACTAAATATCACTAAAATAAATGTAAAACTGAAATTAATAATATATCAAAAAGTCAAAGTATATAAAAACAATTATTTGAGTCATTGACAGCCCAAAAAAGGAACAGTGAATGATAATCCACCACATCTGCGTAATAATATTTGTGGATGAAAACCAGAGATGGGCATATTTATATTCAAGAATATAAATACGAATACCATTTATATTTATGGTACTTATGACTATAAATATAAATATTTATTTATATTTAATAATACACTATTTAGATAAAAAAATAATAAAATATATATATTCATATTTATATTCATAAGTACCATAAATATAAATAGTATTCTTATTTATATTTTAGAATATAAATATGCCCATCTCTGACAAAAACTAACAATGTCTTCATCTTGTATTTCACACTCATCTAGTTCTTGAATCCACACAAGGGACGAAATTGTCTTTGGAATTCTGTCATAGTTACAATTTTTACGACATATTTTTTTAATTGTTGCAAATTTTACAAATAATCACTTATTTGGAATATATTTTGGTATATCATTCTTAATAGTTAGTAATTCTATTACAGCCCTCTCAATAAGATCTTGTACTATTGTTTTCATTGAATATTCCCTTTTATCATTAAAAAGTTATGATTTAGCTTTATTTTTTTTTAGGACCATTTTTTTCCCTCTTTTTCATCTACCTCAATTTTATTTTTCCCGCATGTCAGTATGAATTCTGCACTTTCTAATTTTTTCCTCTTGTTTGCCAGTTTTTATGCTCATTTTTAGGAAAATACCTTATTTTCTATTGGGATTATAAAGGAAACATATTTCTGAAGTGTTGTCATGACCTTACCAAATAGACCAGCACAAATGTTACTATAGGCAGCTGATTCATAGTTGAAATCAAGGCTCAAACTGTTGTTGCCTAAACGATCAACAATGAGACATCATTTTTAGTATTAGGTTCTGATTGTATCCATCAGAAACTTCTTTTTTTTTTATTTTGCCACAATATGGACATTGCTTATAGTGTACAAGAATCTAATCTTGCAAAATATTAAGCTTCAGAAAACCTTTTATGACCACCTTAATTGTTTAAGACAGTTTGATGAATTGAACTATAAATAAAAATAACTAAGATTGTTTATCAAATTTATATTAAAAACGTTTTCAAATAGATTTATTTGAAACTACAGTTGCATATGTAATACACACTGGCGTGGAGTTCTTAATGATAACTCGGCACCAAAATAACCTGAAAAGTGTCCTGGCAGTGCAGGCTACTCAATTTTTCCAAAATACTAACAATAGTAATAACTAAATTAATTAATTTTATAACTAAAAAATTAATTAAATTAATGGCATCTAAATATTTTACCTGAATTTTCTCCTGGTGAATCTCTACCAGAATCTTCTTTGACTATGTTGATTGGATAAGAAAGGCAGTAAACTGGAACCTGATAGCGAGTGCCAAGTTCGTCATAGCATTCAGTCAAGTAACCTATAGGAAATATATATATGTATAATAACATATTAACAAAATAAATCTTGATATTTGGGACACACTGCAATTACAGGAGAATTAGACTCAGAAAATTTTAGTGATATATATAGAATAATACCATAATACATTATACAGTAATAGCTTTAAGTCTGGAATAGGATCAATTCTTGACAAAGATGGAAGAAGTTAACATCCACCTCTGGATTTATTAACTCTTAGTATATTATCTTTGTATAGTGCTGAATATAAATGACAAAAGCTGTGCTAATATCTAATGTACTAAAATATAAAAGAAACTAATTACAAAATATATAAATATACTATACTAAATATACTAATACAATATAATCGAAAGTCAGGTTGTATAGATTCCTTTTCTAATTCTCAGAAGTGATGGATTTTCATAAATGAGGTGTCAAAAGAAAGGAAATTTCATAAAGAAGTGACAAATTCTTATCATGTTTTTAAAAAACTCCAATGACAGTAAATCGACGAATTAAGACAAGACAGACTGTGTTATCAAGATTTCGAAGTAAACATCAAGAACTGGCCAAGTCTCCTGTAGAACTTAGCAGGCATTATGTTTTAAAGCCCAGAAATGTAGTTTTCGAGACAAACCGTAATTCTTGAAGTTTCTTAAGTGCCAAGGGATACAACATGTCTAGGGTTTATAAAATTCAAATATTATTATTTAGAATAGTCACTGAGAAACTAAAAATCTATTGAAAAGATAAAGAAAGGAGAATAGTTCTGAGATCCCTAGGGCACCTCAGCTAATATAGAAAGAAACTCTTAAGATATTTTGATAAAAGTAAATAGGTTTTGTGGATATATTTTAATTTCTTTGGTTGTTTATATTGCCATAGCAGAAATAAATTTCTTATCCACATATTGATTTCTTTACTTTTAACTTCTTTACTTCGTCCTAAACAAGTGAGCACTTCTGCACCTCATAGGTCTCAGTAATTACACTACGGGGTTAGTATAAGTTACAGACAGCTGAGTCCATTTCCTTAACTTTAGTAAAACTGAAGAGATATTTTCCAGTGGAGCAAGCAAGTTATTTATTAAGTAAATTGTTAATTTAACATAGTTATTATTAACTATTCGTTACCATAGAAAAGTTCATCCTATTGTCCTAGTATATAGTAAATAATCAAACAATGAAATACTTCAATAGCTAAATGCCTCAAACTTACACTCTTGCTTAATTGTAGAACAGGTTTTGGGTAGCTATTATTTTTAGGACATCTTTAAAACATAAAAAAAAAAACTTCATAAATTAACACTACTGACTAGTACTTATTATTATAATTAATGAATATAATATAAAAAATCATTAACTACAAAAAGGAATAACAAAGAACTTATTAAAATTCTAAAAGATTTCATTACAAAATAATGAGACTTAAGGAGCATAATCTATGAAAGCAAATATGGTACTCCTTAAATAGCCGGTCCAGACAAAACCTCCCATATTATCTAATGTTACATCACATAACCTCCCTTCTTATCTCCTGTAAGCTCAGTTATTCCATTGGTTAATTTTTATTCCTCATGTAAACTGTGAGTTATTCCATCACTTATTTTCGTTCCATTGGTGTGATTGTCGTCAAATTATGGATGTGTCAAATTATATTATATTGTGGGAATTTCCATCTTCAGAAGAAGAGGCTATCAAATATTTTCAAGACGCCGGGATAATTGCAAAGGTGAAATATTGTGATGAAGGTCATGAAATGAAGTTCATCGGGAAGAGGAAATGTAGATGCTTTTGTACCACTTGTAACAAAAACGTTTCTCTAAAGAAAGGAATGTGGTTAGAGGGGTCGAGGATTTCTTTTTTGACGGCTTTAAAATTCATTTATGGGTGGTCCCATAATTTAACAATACAGTGGGACAAAGAGAAGCTGAAACTATCCGAGCCAACTATGGTAACGTGGAACAAATTTTCAAGAGAGGTTTGTGCCCATAACATGTTATACAGGTCAAGTAAAAAAATTGGAGGGCCTGGCAAAGTCGTTGAAGTAGACAAGAGTCTTCTTTCCAAAATGAAAAATCATGTAAGGAGAGTTCTACCTGAGCAATAGATGTTTAGCGGAATTTGCCGAGAAACAGAGGAGTGTTTTATAGTCAAAATAAACAGCAGAAAGGCAACAACTTTATTAGAAAGTATTAAAAACAATATACAAGACGGAAACACCATTTATTCTGACTGTTGGAAAGGAAACAACACCCAACAACTGAATGAAGCAAACTATAATCATTTCCAGGTGAATCATCGGTATAATTTTGTTAATCTATCAAGTGGGATCCATAATCAACACATAGAACGATTATGGCGCTCAGCTAAGTGGACAAATAAAAAACATAGAGGAACTGCCAGACAACACATCGATTCATATTGATATGTGAATTTTTGTGGCGGCTGGCTCACAGAGAATAGGACCTGTTCCTCGCTATTTTAAAAAGCATTAAACTATTGTGTCTACCAAAATAAATTAAATAAAAATCAAATTGTTTTATATGTTCATATTTGTTTAAGAGGTTTAAGATTAAAGCAAAGAAAATCAGAATACAATTTTAATAAAACAATGACCTCAATAATAATAAATATTCACATTTCTACAAAAAAAAAAAAAAAAAAAAACCTTTATATCCAAAAATGTACTTTCTTTAATAAAGTGTATTATACTGTAGACTTTTAGTTAATAAGTTTATAATCATTTAAGTAATAAATAATTATCTTGGAATAAAAATTAATTTAAAATACCATATTTTATAATTATTTTAATACATTTAGCTGCATCATTTAATATTCAATATTTATTTCACATATTTTTGTCTATTTCCTATATCTGTTGTAAAATTAAAAAGTTTTGTTATTGAGAGAATTATTACATTTCTTTTTGACTACTTCAATTTCAAATCAAAATGTTTTTTTATTATTACATTTGGTTTCCTCTATTTAATACATATGTTGTAAAATAAAAGTATTTAATCAAACTGTTTTTTATCATTACATTTGTTTTTGTTTACAATTTCAATACAATATAATACAATAAATATGAATAGGAAGATAGGAATTATCAGTGTTAAGGTTATAAACATTGGCAGATATCAGTCGGCCCCGGCCGACTATTTAAGGTACTGCAAATATACTCTGTGCAGTATTAATTATATTTGAATCTAGTTAAATACCATATTTTAAAATTATTTTAATACATTTAGCTGCATAACTTAATATTCAAAGCTAACTATACCTGAACTCTACAGAAAAAAAAATCTGGTGTGTCCACTCACACGACTATCATACTTAGTTCAGAAAAGTTTTTATATCTTTAAATATCTCCATCAAGAAACACAAATAATTTGAATTAGATTGTTGAAATAAAACATTTGAGTATGATTTATTTAATAACTAAAGTAATGTAAACCAGCTTAAGATAGATCAGTGTAAACATTTCAATACCCTCTAATATTGCTGATCAAAAACTTTTCGATGTATTTTTCGGACTCGGAGAGGGCTCTGAAAGGTTTGATCTACTGAAAACTGCATATTGGAAATTTCATCCGATCGCAATACTTTCCTTATCTAGTATAGGTAGGAAAGTAATAAAACGTGTAGAAAATAAAATAAGCTGTAGGATCGCTAATAGTGGTTCTATTCCGATGATTTTTTTCTTGTTTTATTGGTAATTTAATTACATTTTAAAAGTTTTATTATAAATGTTACCATTGAATATATGCTTAGCGAGTTAGGTTCCAAAACATTTTTCTTTTTTTCCTGAATTTTCTCGAGAATTTAGCCCATGCAAGAAAATTGAAAGTTAAAAATTGAACAATTATTAGAATATTATAGGAAAGTTTCATCAAAATCACTAGAGCTGTTTTCACACTAAAATCTATAAAAACACATGGTTTTCATTTATTGTGCATGGAGCACCCAATTTTTGTCACAGGCAACAGCAGTCAAACCCCTACAAAATAAAAAAAGAATCGACAAAATCGGTTCACTAGTTCCTGAGAAAATCTTGGCAACGACAGACAGCTGAATGGCTAAAAATGTGTTTTTAGGATTCAGGAGGCTCTGAAATGTATAGATCCGTCGAAAACCGCATATCGGAAATTTGACCCGATTGCAATATTTTCCTTAACTAGTATGGGCAGGAAAGTAATAATTACAATATAAGTAGACATTTCCATTTTTGAACCAAAACTGAGATTTGGAGTTTGTTAGTTTTTTTAAGTTATACTAACTCTGTATCAGTCACAAAAATTTCTTTCAATAGAAACGCGATTGGAAAGATAGTTTTTTTCAAGCCAACTGAATTTTGGTGAATAATGGACAAATAAGCTTTTCATAGACTGTTACAGGCAGATCAACACAAGTGGAGACCCTTCTAAAATAAAAGTTTCTATATAAAATTTATGCATATAAATTTAGCACTATGTTTCTTAGATTTCTTCCACTATTTTTAAGTTTTTAAAACCTTTTAAGTCATTTTCAAAATAATTCATTTAAGATATTTTAAATCTTGTGGTTCTCCCCCTCCCTTAGCTATCAGAAGATATCTGATTCCTTCTACTGCTAGTGTAAAATGTCACTTTACAAATGGAGCTCCTCAATTACTGAATCAAATTGAGCAAATTAATAGAATTGATAACAATACAACTGTATGCTCATTTGGATGGGAATTAAAAAGGTACTTCAAAATAAGGGAACTTTACTTATGAACAAACTCAACTTAGAATCAGATAGAAATTAATTATTTATAAATCAATACCATTTGGTACAGATATATTTGCTCCATCAAGAATGGCTTGGGCAAGTTGAAAGTCAAGAGCTTCAGCAGCAACGGCTGCAGCACGCAGGGCATCCCATATTTCTTTTCGACCTTCAAACGCCGGAGCTGTTTCCCAAAACTCATCTCTTTTACTCCTCAGCTGGCCTTCAGTTAGTGGTACATCCGATCTCCATCGAATTGTTTCATGACAGAGAGGATGATTCTTTCTTGTACTTCCTAATAAACAGAATAACCACATGTTCTCACTGATAGTTCAACATAAACGAAAATAAAATTGAAAAGTTTTCTTAAAGCTCAAAAGACAACAAAAGGTTAAATAAACTTAGTATGTTACTAAATAAAGAAAATATAAACTGTCAAAACATCTAGGTTACCTGAAACAGGACGTGAAACATTTTCATTAGAATTGTCATTTCCACTTCTTCTATTACGATTTATTCCTATACATCCTCCCATTCTGCAAGCCACAATATAAGCGGCATTTCAGCTAAATGTAACTGTAACTGAACAACAAATTTCCACATAGAAATTCCTCCATACTACAATATCATTCTTAACATGGCCAGTGTAACCATAAAAAACTTTTTTTGATGAAGCATCATTCCATTTACTTTAGCGATGATGAAAGTACAAATTGAACAAATAAATTTAGAAAAAGTAAATATAAATTCAAGAAGAATCAACTACATATGTTTAGAAGATATAAATCTGGTTCAAACTAAATTCGAATTGAGGAAGGGGGGTTCATTTAGCTTCTTTCTTGATTTGTAAATTACAAAGAAAAACTATAATTAAGTCTATAAATAATAAAAACTAATATTATATGTATAGTAAAATTTACTTCGGCTATAGTAAGTATCTTATTTTGTCACATAGAATCCTAATAAATCGAAATAAATAAATATTGAAGAGACACTATATATGAAAGTGAAATTCTTTTTAATTGCATGATAAAATTTTAAAACTATTTACAAAAAAGAAAATTTAGTAAGTTACTACAGGTAAACCCAAAGTTACTAAAACTTTTATTGCATAACTTTTTTCATCTTAGAATACACATTTCACAACATAAGTATCATTCATAGATACATATCTCAGTTTATGACAAAAATTACGTTCTTTTTGTTAACAGTTTTTGACAATTTAGTGAAAATCTTCGTTTTTCGGCCGAAGTTTTCGATCATGCTGAAACAGATTAAGTTATGATACTAATATGACACAAAATTTATCAGTATTTGAAGCAAAGCAATTAAAACACTTACCATTCAGAAATTATGAGTGAAAATCCCGTTACCCGGACTTGGAAGAGGTCCTGTCCTGGCTTATAAAGTTTTATTTGTCAATCTCCAAATTTGTATTAAAATAAAGTGTACATAACGTTATATGTAACGTAAATATTATGAAAAGATATTAAATAATATATGTATTATTTAATATCTTTTCATAATATTTTCTTCGCATACTTTATAAATGGATTCGGTTGAATATAGGAGGTAAAATTAATATTTGGATGGCCCCACAAAATTAACCCGTTGGGCCTTGATTTCTCTCTATGCTCTGCACTTTCATAATTAAAATTTAAATCTTCTCCAGTTAAAAGTACCGTTTTGAGACTCTGTTTTTTAAAAAATTGCCTGAATTTTCAAATTTTTTTGGTGGAAAAACTTCGAAATTTATCAATACAAAAACTCATTAAGATCATCAAAATAACACTAACTGTTTTTAGAAATAGACTAGGTCCCTTTAGAATAACAGTATTGTTCATATAAATTGACCATAAATCTGGCCAAAAGACTTATTACAATGAATAATAACAAAATAATAGTAATAAATTAAGTATAATAGCTCTTAGGATAAATTAACAAGAACAGTTGGATAACAGTGGTTCTGTACTACAATATTGGAGCTAAAACAATAGCATAATAATCACTGAATGGAATTAGAAAGGAACGCAAAATCAATTTTATAGGCAAAGCATTGTAGTGATGGAATATAAAATTTTAAAAAAATAATAATAACTGTTAAAAACGAAAAAAAAAAAAAAAAAATGATATACATATGTTCCCTAAGATATTTAAGTGAATATGCGTAAAGATTAGGAGAAGAAAAAATAAAATAAAGTATGTATAAATATATATATATATATATATATATATATATATATATATATATATATATATATATATATATTTAGAAAAGAAAATACATTTCAACGAAATACAATCTCAAGAATGTAAAAATTAGAAATTAAGAAAAACAAATTTTATCTACTCACAATGCTTAGTGAGTGGTGATGAAAATTCACGTTCAACACAGAATAAAACAATAAAAAATAAGAGGAAAAAAAAAAATGTCTAAAGAAAATTAAAGTCTTATTACATAGTATGTATTTAACCAGCGTTTGATTGGATTGTGAAGAGGAATTGGAATAAGAGGGTTTTAAAGGTGGATAAGGATGATGCATGGCGGATTTTTAGTGGGACAGAATTCCAGAATGCAGTGGAACGGTCAATGAAGGAATTTTTAAATGATGCAGATCTGTGTAAAGGTCAGAAGGACGAGATCTTGTGGAGAGGGTGTGGATAGATGATTTGAATTGTAGGAGATTGTATGTGTAGGATGGACGATGATTATTTGGTAAAAGAATGTGCCTAGGAAATATTTTCTTCGGAAGGAACGGAAGAACCATCCTAATTTAGCATAGTGGTACGAAACACGGAATGCCTCAGGGTCCCTGTGACAAATCTTACGAAGGCATTCATAATTATTTTCAGTTTCTTCCCGAGTTCTGCCGAGAGGCCACCGTACATCACGCAGCCGTAATCAAGGTGGGGGAAGATGAGGGAGGATACCAGAAGTCTACGTGTGGGGATGGGTAGGAGATGGCGGAAGCGATGAAATAGTTTCAAGGTACCAATTGACCATCGGAAAATGTGAGCAATATGGTGTTTCCAGGAGAGGGTTTGGTGTATGAAAATGCCTAGGTTTTTTACTGAGGAGGTGAAGGTGATGGGATGGTCATTTAGGTAAAGGATAGGTATGTTGGTATTGGCTCTGAGAAGAGGTTTGGAACCAATGACAATGGCTTGAGTTTTTGCAGCGTTTAATCTTAATCCATTTATGTTTGCTGAGGCACTGATCCGATTCAAGTCTTCTTGAATTTTGGCAAACGCTTCATGCAACTCTGAGGGATGGAAGGAAAGGTAAATTTGGGAGTCATCGGCGTAAAGGTGATAGGAGGAGTGAAGGATTGAATTATGGATGTCATTGATATAAGAACTAAAAAGGAGGGGAGATATACTAGAGCCCTGGGCCACTCCTGCGGACAAAGTAAGATACTAAGACAAGGGTTGATTAGGGATAGCGACAGCTTGTGAGCGTTGGGAGAGGAAAGATTGAAACCACAGGATAGAACTATGGGAGAAGGATAATGATTTTAATTTGGAAAAGAGAATGGAATGGTTGATGGAATCAAAGGCTTTGGAAAAGTCAAGGAGTATAACGACAGTTAGTTTTTTGTCATCAATGGCGGACTGAACATCATTAATGATTTTGATTAGGGCCGATTATGTGGAGTAACCTGATCGGAAACCAGATTGGTAAAGGTCAAGTTGATTGGACTGTTCAAGGAAGTTGGAAACTTGGGATTGCACAATTCTCTCCAGGGGTTTGGAAAGGTTAGAAAGGATTGAGATTGGCCGGAAATCTTCAGGGGAAGACGGATTAGAATTTTTATTTAAAGGACGGACTGTGGCTTTTTTTCCACAAGAAAGGGAATACTGAATTTTGAAGGGAAAAATTGTAGATGAAAAGGAGTACCGGAAGGATTTCAGGGAGGCATAATTTAATTAATTTGACGGGAATGCCATCTGGACCAATAGAATTAGAGTGTAATTTCATCACGGCGGATAGGAGGTCTGTGGGAGAAATATATGAAAAATAAAAATCGGCGTCATTGAAAGATGTTCCAGGAGGAAAGAAGGAAGGGGAATGGAGGCGTTGAAGAGGAAGCAGATATAAAATAAGAATTTGTCATTTGGTGAAACTGTGAGCACTGCAGAGGGAGGAGATCTGGTAGGACCACAAAGAGAGAGTTTACGAAGGAGTAGCCTTTTGGATTTGGAATCAGGAGCTGAGGAAAGGGCTTCATGGAAATAGGTAGATTTGGCTCGTCGGATTGTGGTTTGTGTCAGGTTGCGGAGCGCCCTGAACGCTTGATAGTCGTCAGCCAATCTAGTGCGTCTAAAGCGTCTACGGGCTGCATCACGCCTCTTCTGAAGATCCTTAATTTTCTGACACATCCAGGGAGCAGGAAGGCGACGAAAGGTGGAGGTTTTGAGAGGGGCATGGTCATCAAGGATATTAATAAGATTGGAGGTGAGAATGTCAACCATGGAATCAATTGAGGTACAGGAATATATTATATTCCAATCTAGGGAAGGTAAGATTTTTTCCCGAGTAAGGCCATTAAGGTTACGGAAAGTTACCGTTCTCGGTAGGATCGGATGGGTTTGGATATTATAGGATATTTGGATTAGGTCATGCGACGATAAAAAGGAAACTGGTAATTGGGAAGAGGAAAGGAGGTTTTGGACGGAATCAATAATGTACAGGTCCAACCAAGTGTCGGACCTTGCGGTGTGATGCGTAGCAGAAAAAGGAACGATAAAAAGATGAAGGGAGAAAAAAAGGTTTTCTAGGTATGATTTGTCGCTGGAGTCGGAGAGGAAATCGGTGTTTAAGTCACCGAAAATGATAATTTTGGAATAAAGGGGCACAAAGTTAAAGAGGGAAGCTTCGAAAGATGGATCAAACGGAACAAGAGGAGGACGATATACTACGGAATAGAGATGAGAGGTGTTACAGGAGATTTCGACGATCAAGAACTCGACTTGTGGCTGATCAGTTGGAGAAGAACAATGGAGAATTCGTGTCTTTAGGCTGGTATGAAATAAAATGTACTACCGTTTTTTTTTTGTTTTTTTTCCAGACATCTCTTTTATGGGAATTAACCCTTCGTGGTATGTGATAAAATAAATGTTCTTAATCCTAATATTTACGTTTTCATAAAAAAAAAACATTCAAGCCATTAAAGGATTTAATTTTTCAGAAACATTGATTAATAACAATAAGTTGTAATTGGTATTTTATATTGTGACATGAGAATTTTTATTTGCTCCAATTATGGGTATTTCAAAAATAAAATATCCCATATTTCATAAATGATACTTCAGAAAAAAATATTTTTCAATAGAAGTATGGTTTCTTTCTTAGAATTTTCAAATGCTTCAATACTCAATCTGAATGCAGCTTTAATAAGGAAACATAAATATTATGATTACAATTAGTTGGTCATTTATCATATCATAGGAGCTTTGTGTAAAAAACACTAGTTCATAATCAATTAGGATGAAATTTTGTAAAAGCATTTTTTTAAATAAATAAAATAGATATTTTTATGACTAATGTACTATAATACCTCCCAGACCATATAAAAAATAAATTAAAGCTTTTTGATAATTTATTGTAGTTATTTTGCTGAAAATACAGGTACTCTGGGATGACATAATATCAAAACATATAACTTTTTTCTAAACAAAGGCTACAAGATATATTGTGGTATTAAATAACATCTAGGACTCCTTCCAGTTGCCTAGAATGTAAAATATAATATAATTGGCAAAAAATGAAATATAACATAGTTTGAGATCATCAAGCATGATTCAGAAGCGTTCATAACAAGATACATAATGCTTGAGAGTATTAGAAAGTTCAGGATATGGACATCTTATTTGTCTATTTCAATGCAGCATTTGATCCCGATCAATACTGAGCTTAAACTTCACAGGAAACAGATATCATTAAATGCATACCCAAATGATTCTAAATACAGTGTTCTGATACAGCCTTGGAAAGGGAGATGGACTCTCTTCAATTTAGGTAATAGAATAAAATCTTTGATAAGGATATAAAGTGAAAATGGAAAAGTACAGTAGAGATCCGTAAAATATTAGTGAAAGTGAATGATATAGCTGTTCTTGAAGGCAGAGCAATTGATAATTAATTAAAAATAAAACAAAATGCCATATATTGAGTGTAAATCGAACTCAGTTCATAGCAGCTGATTTAGATAAGATTCATATCAGACCATATGTTCTGTATATACACCATTGTTGAGAGGTGAATGTAAAACCAATTCCTCCCTTCAGGACAGGACTGGTGTGTACTTTTCTGGCACTGGCAGGTACAGCCAGCGTACTTAGACCAGAAAGTTAATGAATTCAAAACAAAGAACATGGTAACAGAAGAAATTCCCAAGCGAGGTGAGTTTCTGTTGGGCTTCATAAATTTAAAAAGGTTTCAGAGTTTACTAATCTATGATCTGTGGTCACTCGAGCCTAATAACACCAACATTAAAATGGGGAGAAGGATCATTAAAAATTATAGGTATTCCTAGGTATACTATTATATTAGGTATATAAATTATAGGTACTTCCTCTAAAATACCTTTAACTGAATTTTAACTAAGCTTAGATGTATTACAAAAATAAATATCTTAACACATTGCTCATAAGCAATAGAAAAGGAGAGTAACAAAAAATTATTGTAGTTAATAGTTTCTGCTTTTTTTATTTTTATTTACAGCCTGTTCATACAAGTCTTAAAACTTGTAGGCCTCCCCTATTTAAGGGGGTATATGGTCCAACTTCCCACGGGGAGCAGCCATATTGGGAAGTAGGGCCAGGATTCGATCTTATGATTTTAACTTTACTAGTATAGCACACTAACCACTTAGCTATACCGGCCCCTATTTTATTATTTAGTGGAAACTAAATGGAAAGTTTTAACATATATTTTAAAAGGACTTCCTTCATTCTATTTGAATTGTGCGTTCTGAAAATTAGTTTTTTTACTAAGGCACTGTTATTATTTCCTTCTAATGTATTATTTGAAATCAATCTCTTTAATGGGCATTTTAAATGTAATTACCCATGATTTACTGTCAATATTTTTGTTTATATCACATTACATACATGCATTGCAGCTTTTATTTGTTAGTCTCCTAGCTTTAAAAAAGTAGGTTTAATTATTTAATGCATCAGGATGAGAAAAGCTATTCTTTTACCAACTGCTATGTATTTTTTTTATCAGACCATTAAAAGCCTTATACATTCTTCCTTGATTACTTGATAAGTAGCTGTAATATCATTTCTCAACAGATATAAGATGCCCTAAGTGAAATATAAAAAACAAAAAAGTTTATTGAGAATGCATGCTTATTTTTTACTTAGGTAACTGAGAGGATCATAATGAATTATAATTACTATCAATATTTTAAAACTTTTTTTAAGTGCACATTTTAAGAATTTATAACAATATAAAATCTATTTTCTGCCTATAACTAAACCAAATTGCAATAAAAACAAGTTAGTAAATTTTTAAGGGATTGGGGATTATACATAAAAAATATCTTTTTAAAAAATATATAAAAATGATATGAAAATTTTGTGTTATTTACATTGAAACAATATATCCTAAATCGGACAATAATTTGATAAACAAATGTCCGATATTTTCAAGCTTGGTCATGAAACAAGATATGAAAGAAAGTTAACAGTGATGTAAAATTTTATAATACTCGTGATGAAATGTGTTATGTACAAATACTAATATTAAATTAATCACTACTCACTAGCCTCTTGTTTCTACATTACCTACACAAGTACAAATGAACATTTAAGCAAAAATAAGTTTTAATGTTTTGGTTTTTTAAAGTATAAGTCCATTGAAGGATATAGCTATTACATAAAATCGATTATGATAAAATTTATTTTAAAAAAAGAAAAGAATAATGAACATTCAGAAATATTTGAAGTCATAAAACTGATTAAAAATAAATAAGTAAAAATAAGGCATATTTACATAATTTATGGAACAATTAATTTTATTTAACTGATAAAGAAAATAACACAACGTGCTACATATAAATAAACATATAAATAGTACACATTAAAAAGTCATGATTTACGCTTGGCGACAATATAAAAGAAGAAGGCTTTCATTCATACAAATAACTATTTACAACTTCTCCTTCAAAACATAGTATACCTAACAATTAGCCAGGTAAACTAATATTGAAGAACAAAACCAATTATACGTTTAAAAATAAAACATAATAAAATAAAAAGTAAATCATGCACCTGGTTACTATACAAAGATATTTCCTCTCCTAAATTATTTTAAAAATCTCTTCTTTCTCTGATTTTTTTTTCTTTTTTTTATGATACATATCTTCTATAAATATATATAACTATGCATAAAATTAGGATCCTGTCTGTGTAGATGAAAATATAATATTTCAGGAAGAGTGGAACAAAATTTATTATTACGATGATCAGTGAAAGGCAAACAAGCTTCATTATTTTCAAAGCACTGTCCTCAGTTTCTTTACAGGTGGTTCACCATCAACAGCTTCGTTATCACCAATCGTTAGGTTGTGCTCTTTACAAAGATTGTAGAATAAATTCCTCAACTTCTCACCAGCCCTGAAAAAAACAAGCAAAAATAAAAATACAAAATTTAATTATAATTAAATTAACTATTACAATTACAAATCAACAATAACAGCTTTATTTTTAATTAAATAATAAAAATGTATTAGTTATCTCAAGGAAAAATATATAATTATACTTTACTAATAGATAATACTACAAGTCTCTCAAATACTAGTAAATAAAAACTAATCAACATTTCGTCAACTGAGGTTCAGGATGAAAATGATAAATTCACATAACGGTAGAATATAGCAGATCTTACATAATTAACGAATATATGGGTACCTATGATCACAAGGTTGAGAACAATAATGCAGACGAGAAGCTATAGCTTTACATGGCACCTTCATAAATTCAGTTCTGAATCCACTATGAATTTATTATTCATTAAAAATAAATAAAGTATTACTTTACAAATTTATCCATACAAGTAATTAACATGTAACTAATCACAATTATTTTGTATTATATTAATATAGCCAAGAGGGCTAACACGTGTGCACAGCACCGCATATCCTGCAACCTGATAGAAATGGAATGATACAGCTTATTCTGTTCTGAACCGTTCCAAAGGTGGAATTGTTCTCTGGAACTAATTTAAGACCATTCATGTCCGTTCTCATCCTGTCTATTACTTGCAATAAGACTCCTTCGGTTACTTCTTCGTACTGCTCTTACAACTTACAATGTGTAGAGTAAAAACATGTGACGCGAATTTATCAAGAAACGCCTACATTATAAACTAACAAGTTGGCCCATGCGAATAATTCAGATAATATATTAATCAGTGAACAAAACTAGTTAATGCTATCTAATTAACTACCACTAAGTTAATACAATGTTGTAATATGATATGGAGGAATTAAATTTTTCTCTTGATCGAATTACAATAGTTTATTCATAATAATAAACCAACACATGTGTAAAAATTAATATATCTTTGTCAATAATGGCTCAATTCAATGATTTTTTTTGTTGGTTTTATAGGAAATTTAATAATCTTTAATAATCCAATATAAATTGCATACTTATTGAGTTGTACTCAAATAATTTTTCTTACCTCAACGAGAAAATAAGTGAATAAAATATTTACTATATATTGTAACGTTCCTCTTTCACTCCAAAATCAAACGAGTTTTCTTTTTCAATATACTATTTATTTTAACACATAACATAAATTCTCAGGTTGGGTTCTGACAACTGAACACTCATTCAACATTAAATAACTATAATTTACTAATTACTAAATACACTAATTATACATATAAAAATTTATTATTGTTTTCAAAAACCTTGATTGTCCCAGTCTAAACTTTGTGGCTCTATCCCTCTGTCAACATAAATGGCATTGTTAGCACTCACCCAAATGTTTACGCCTGTCAGTGAAATAATCTCTTCTTACTTAAGAATGTTCCATTTTCTGTACTACTCAATTAATTTCTGCTATGTTTTTTCTTCCAACATAAAATAATCTCCACTAGTGGCCTCTATCAACACTCGAACCGGCTAGTACTCCTTTTTCACTTCCTCAGCTTGCTGGCTAGCACCTTCTCACTTGGCAGCTCGTCACCTTCTCTCTTGACAGCTTGTCACATTCTGCCCTGGCGGCTCATAACCTTCTCTCTTGACAGCTTGTCACATTCTGAGTTACATGAGGCTTGCTTTCCCCACCATCCGCACGCACTTCCTTCCCATAGTTCGTGCTGTTACCACTTTTGCGCCACTATTAAAATGCCATGTAATGGTGACATTACAATATTATTTCTCAATGCTTTTATAGATGACGTTACGATTCACTTTTTAGTCAGAGTCTGGTCTATCATAAATTGCCATTCCTCTGTTTCCTATCACTACCTTCCAGGTCTGGACATCAAGCAGGAACCTTGCGTCGGTAGCCAAATCGTCTTCCCAGCGAAACTTAGGAAGTCCAACTCTTCTGGTAGCATATACACACTCTGAAAAATTCCCATACATTTCCCATTTTTTCTTTTTTACATTTTTTCTAGTTTATTTTCTAGTAAATACCTCTTACATGTGGCCTTTGGTTTCAAGACAGGTTACATCGATTTATTGAGAAAAAATATATATGTTTTTATTTTTCACAAGTTTTTAATGTTTATATTTATAAAATTAGTTGCATTTATATCAAACCTGTTTAGATATTCAAAAAATCAATACTAAACAATTCGATTTCCTACCAAAAGTGGTTCTATACACCTTTTTTGATCGGTTCTGAAGCATTTTTGAAAATGAATGTAATCGGTTTTTGAAAACAAACGCCTCAAATAAACAATAATGAGTACCACCTGCCATTAATCCAATGTAAGCTCTTATCGCAACCTATACTCATGTTAGACTTTCTATTTTATTTTACCAAAAGTATATTCAAGTAACGGTCTGCACATATATATGGGAGTTCTGGAAAAATCTAATATATAAATTATTATTATTTTTTAAAGGGAGTCCCTTTATATCAATTAGATTTTGTATTTAAATCGAGACTTTTTTAAAATTTTTATTTTCTCCTGCCGGGAGGGAAGGAGGACAGGAACTAGTACCTATTATATCTTGTAAAGATCTGTTAATCACGTTGCCAGACAACAAGTATTTTGCACAGCATTAGCCCGCTCTGTCACCCCGTCCCATGTTTAAATTGAGTTGGAGTTTGAGAAGTGCATTTTTACACTAATAATTTTTTCAGTTTTAACAACACTTTGCGCATTTCTATGGCCCCTATAAATTAATGTATCGAGTTAGAAATTTGTTAAATGAACTGATGTGAGAAAAGATCTTTCTAAATTCTCAACTATTTTTTCCACCCTCCCACTACGTCCCAACATATCTAATTCTAAACTAAATAAAACAATGTTCAAAAACAAAACATAAAAAAGATATTCGGCAGCTTAAATGGTTTAAAAATTATATTTAAATTGGCAGAGAAGTATTTATAAACCTATTTTGAAAAAAAAAATAAAGGAAAATGTGACCTGAATGACACTGATCTGTTATACACTTCCATTTATTTTTTTAATGTTTTGATCAATTATTTAACGTTTTGTCTCAGAGGTTGAATATGGTTTAATTAGTTAAATAATTTAAATTGTTCAATATAAACTACAAGAAATATAAGTAAATTTTTCAAAATAAGAATAGTTCAAACAGCTTCCTCATAAGAGAAGCTTAGCATTCATGACTGAGGTTATAACATTTTGTGAGCTCGAACATAAATTTCTACTCGTGTATTACCTTTTAGATATCAAGGAACAAATTTGGAATAAACCAGGGCCTGACCCATTGGGTGTTGGATTTTAATATTTTTTTTGGTTATTTGTTGAATGTGTTAATACAAAGCCAAATACAAAATTTTAGATTTTTTTCACTTCAGTTTTGAGTTATAAATTTTTAAAATAATAAAAGACCTTGAAAAAACTGTGCATTTTTAAAATAGTGTTGGGACTATTTTTCAAGAACTATTTGACCTAGAAAGCTGAAACCAGTGTCACCTTTTTCGGTTGTTTATGCTCTTTCTTTTGATATACACTTGACTATATTCTAAAATTATAGTATTTTTAAAGATAACCAAAACCTATATTTACGGATAAAAAAAAATTTGATTTTATTAAAGAATTATATGTTATTCTAGGATTGGGTGGCTAAAAGTGTGCCAAATTTCAAAGTGGAGAACTTCATTAGGTAAAAAATGTTGACCTACAATAGGTACAGTAAAAACACTGTCAAGCCCCGCCAATATTAGCCAATGTAATATTCTTCTTTATTTAAAAATATTTATATTTTTTTCAAATATAATAAGTATAAATATACATATTTGCTATCGTATTCACTCATGTAAATACGAATATAATTGTATACACAGGTGAAATAAAAAATGTTGTTATATTCAAGTAAAAGTATGTATAAATATTTTAAATTAAATATTAATATTACAGTAAATTTACTGGTCTAAATAGAAATATTTGCATCAAAATACAAGCCTTTAAAAATGCATACAATTGTAATTACAGGAGTGATAATGAACAAAATAATATCCCCATAAAACTATGATGAGGTATTTATTTTTACACAAATTTATAATACATATTAAATTTGCAAAAATTAAAAGTTTTGGAAATCCATGTCATTCTCACCTGTCTATTTATTAATAATTAGAGTACATCCTATACCTGCTTCCCCGACCGGCCACCCATTGATATAAATAGTATTTTCATCATAGAAAAACCAAATAACGTCAACGACTTCGGAGGAAAAACAGCGCCGCAATGTAACTGTTCAAAGGCTGTTTAATAATTAATAAAAATATTTATTCTTAAGATTATGTAAATATGACAATATTCTTTATTACATATGTAAACACAAGCTTATTTGTTTTGTCACAAGAGAGGCATAATAAAAAAAAAAATACAATTCCTGGTCGCTGGACACTCTGCCCCTCCTTGCTACAGGGTCCACCTAATAACGACTTGATAAATTAATTAATGTGCATACACCAAGATCTCCATGTCTTAATTCAGTGTTATTCCTCCTCCATGTGCCTTGTTCCTGAAATCCAATATTCTGAATCATATGTAAGGAACAATCAGATAAGTGTCTTATGAATTCTTGTCTTTGGACCCCTACATTATTTCTTAACTGCTTCTGGAAGACAAAATATGTGCAGTTCGCTAGAAGTATTCCCCTTAATATATCTTCCCATATATTATTTTGACAGTTTACTTAGGTTCCTAGATAGATTAATGATTGAACTCTTTCAAATCTATACTTTCCTAACAGAATGTATCTCTTATCATTTTCACGTTGGGGTAGAGTGCACATATATTTCGTCTTTTCTTCATTTATGATAACTCTTAATTTTGCTGTTTCATGTTTCAGTTCCTCGAAAACTATTTTTAGTGCGTCGAGAGATCTTCCAGTTAGGTCTAAGTCATCTACATATCCGAGAACCTGTACTGTCTTGTTTATTAAGGTTCCAGTTGTTTGGATACCTGAGTCTCTAATAGTTTTCTCCAGAGAAGTTAAATACCAGACAAGCAAGGATATTTTCCTCCTTGTCTGACTCCCATCTCAGAGGAAAAAAAACCTCTCGATGAAAATGATGTCCATCGCCGCTTTGTAAGCCTTACCTCTGTCTATGCTTGTTGAAAACCCCAAAAAAGACATGTGTTAGAATCTGATATTCTCTTGTTTTTTCTAATAGGGTGTGTAGAGTGAAAATTGGATCAGTGGTTGATTTGCCTTTTCAAAACCTAGATTGATATTTGTTTGGAAGGAGCCTGTTAAATAAAATAATGGAAAAGATCTTGTATGTGCTTAGGAGAAATAAGATCCCTCTAATTACTGAATGTGTATATATTTCCTTTCTTATGAAAAGGACAAATCACAATGTGTATACATTTCCTTTCTTATGAAAAGGACAAATCACTATCTTCTTCCATTCAGGCGATAATAATTTTTCTCTTCAAATATCTGTACCATGGTACACCCACCATATGCTTGTTAATTTTTTATCAAATCTAATGATTGAGCCATCATTTTTAGGACTGCAGCAAGTACAAATAAGAGGTATGTTGAGGCTGCAACAAGTTCTGACCCTGTGGATCACAAAAGAATGGATGCCTACCTCAAGAATGACTTAAAGTAGCACTATTAGAGTCAGCTTGAAGAAAACCTCAAGAATGACTTAAAGTAGCACTATTAGAGTCAGCTTAAAGAAAACCTATCTCCACATAATATCCTTCTCGGTGTGTCTAGGCTAAGGCATTGGCGAAGTGATTTGTTAGTTGCTGCGAAGGTCAACGCTAAATGTGGTGCACTGTTTTGGCCAGATTGATATTCCATTGCAGACAAACAAGATGAGCATTTTAACACAGTTCTATTAATGAGTGGTATGCCACAAAGAGCAGTACTCTAGTGATGATATATACAGCTGAAGTAATTGGTAAAAACTACAGTATAGCATCAATCTTGGACTATAAAGCTGATATTGGCATCCACAACAGCAGGTATGAGGCACAAACAGCCACTATGACAAACAGAAGAAACCTATAAAAATTTTTTCAAGGCTAGAAAATCTTAACATATATGTAAATAACCAAAACAGCATGTATGTATAGTGTGTGCATAACGACGGGGAAAGAAAAGTACAGTGCCAAGAACTCTTCGCCTAGTAAATCCTGCAATTATTCCATCTGACACCATAAGCTAGCTGGGTATAAAAATGAATTGTCATGTCTGATTACCAACTTACTTATATAAAAAATTAAAATGGTAAGAAAAAAAGTAGAAATGAGCTATATTTATTGTTAGGAAAAATTATTTTTAAAAAAAGTTCAATAAACCTTTAAAGTTAGGTTTACATTTACTAATATAAAATAGCAGACCTATCAATATCAAGATTACCTGTATACATCACTGCCTTCTTCATTATAGAGACAGCAATTGTCAAAGAGTAACTCAGCATCTGCTATGAGGTCAGAGTTCTTGCTATAGGAAAGCATATTTAGTTTGTGTTTTATTGTTCCAAAATCCATTGGCCTTTTAATGATTTCATGGTAATCTGGTGCCTACAAAATAATTTAATTCATTAGTAATCATAAAATTAAAATATTGATGTTTTAAGTGTGATTTTTGCAGGTTTTTGTTAAGAATAAATTATTGGTGCATTATATTTATGTATGGACGAAAAATGATCAGAATGTACAGCCAATGTTTATTAAGTTTATTTTTAGTGAATGTTTATCAAAGTTTATTTTCTAATATTTTAACCCGACCATGAGGGTCATCCTCAGGGCAATGGTTTGAAGGGAAGACAAGAATTCATATTAAATTCATGCCATCAAACCACTGCCCTGATGATGAACAACATTGGTCGAGTCGAAACTTCGGCAAACTTTATAAACATTGATTGCATATTCTGACACAAAATACAATTTCAACAGTCAACTATAAATCCATCTCTAAAATATATTTATATACTTTAAAAGTTATCAAAATGAATAGAAAGTTCAAGATGATTGGCTGCTCATATTTGACCAATATGATTCGAGAGAATTTCTGAGGAAGATCTGTTGACTATAAAAAACATGTCCAGTGTGCAATAGTGATATAGAGTTCAGTATAGACCGGAATGAAAAAAAAGAGAAGAGGACAAGGCTGAACTGAAAGGATAAGGAGTAAGCTGGTGTACACAGCTAAAGAAGAAAAATGTTTGTCGTTAAAAAAAGCAGCACTCTGTTGCTATGAATGGTACATATTTCCAGGCAGTTTTGATTGATAACAATATATTTAATAATTTATTGAAGTTATCAATGAATTACAATTTAAATTATTATTTTAAAGCATAATCCTTATAGCAGGCCTTGTTTATAACATTATAATGTAATAAGACATATCACAGTGTATATTGATAAATTTATCAGCATTTTTTGACATAAAAATATAATCTTAAAACTTAATAAAAGCGTTTATTTTTTTATAAAAAATTCTATAACTCCAATTTTTTAATTATTTATTTCGAACCTTGACCTTCCTTTTAGACAATATGGATGTTCACAGCAGTGGGATGTTACCATTCATAGCAACAGAGTGCTGCTTTTTAGCACACTTTTTCATTCATAGCAACAGAGTGCTGCTTTTTAGCACACTTTTTCATTCATAGCAACAGAGTGCTGCTTTTTAGCACACTTTTTAACGACATACATTTTAGGTATTTAGATGCCAAAAAATTCATGTTGTATGCCTTTATGAAAAAACAAGCAATCCAATAATCATGTGAGATCTTAATGGTAGAATGAGTAAAGATTACCTTAGTTGGCAACGAGCCCATGGTAGACACGGAGTACTGTTAATAATGTTAATGTGGAAAGAATAGTCTGGATCAGTGGTCAACAGTGTGTTTCTCCCAAGAAAAATTACCCTAAAAGAGCCAAGCCCAACCCATCAGTAAGAAAAATCCATAGTTGATTATTTTCTGATCCCATTAGAATTATACAACATTCACAGGATATTAAGGTCAAGAGGTTTTAATAATATCGGTTAGCACTAATATCTATTATTCATGTTACGATGTCATTACTCCTGTACGACTCATATACCCTTTTCTCCTGGGGGTCATAAATTTTACGGCTGTGCTGTGTAATAAATTTTGTGTATGTAATAAACACTTGCGGCAATCTTCATGAACATGTCTAAACTTGTGACAAAAGTTATATTTGGAATCATGACAATTCTTGATTATGATGTTATTCATAGATTCATGTAGTTATAGAATCTATGATTGGTCGATGATGCTCTGAAAATTGCCAATTGAATTCCTTGGAAATTGATGAATTCCTTGGATATCACAGTGTAAAGAATATCAATTTGCATAACAACACTGATATTCTATGGAAGTAAAACCATAGGTTTTCTTAACTGAAAAATTAAATCTCAGTTTACTTTGTGTGTCTGGGGATAGGAAAAAATTTCTGACTAAATCCTCAAAGACGATTATATTCCAAATAAAAACAAATGTTTCATTACGTTAAAATATACTGAATAAAATAACAAAACCTTTAAAACATACCTCTGATCTCGCAACAGGTCTAAGAAAAGGAGGAGCATCGGGATCATGCATGAGAACATCGAGGATTTCCTGTAGTGCTGCATTATCCAGAGGCAGGTCTCTACCTTTTCTACCCTCAGATCTTCTTGTGCTACGCCTTTCTCTACGTGACCTTGAACCTGATGTATCACCTTCATCATCTCCGTTCTCATCATCAGCTGGTGAAAAATATAAATTAGGAAAGAAATAATGAGAGACATGCTCAATATTTAAAATTGTACATTAATATTTCTAAATAGAATGACTTAACGTTTTGAAAAATCCAAATTATGAACTAGCCATAATTACTTTTACGAAAAAATTTAGAGTAGATATTATTACTAAATCTCATCCTAGGCAACAAACATTTTTCAGAGAACACTTATTCATGTAAAAGAATAAGAGAGACCCTTACATTTTTTAACCATACTAATGGCTTAATAATGTCAAACGAGAAAATATTTTTTTAAATTAAATAAAAAATTTCCATTCTTTTCCATTCCATTCAAAAAGTTCTATTTATATATATATATATATATATATATATATATATATATAATATATATATATATATATATATATATATATATATATATATATATATATATAAACTCTTCATAGATAAAACTAAAACAGTACTAGCATTATTAACTAGTAACATGGTTGGGCAAAAATTATCTGATTCATAAATGATGAATAAATTTTAATTCATAACGAAATTCACGAATAATGAATTTTTTAAATTTGTTAATCACAACTAACAAAACAAATAATTAAAAAACATTGGTTTATTTTAAATTAACTTACGACTAAAAATGTATTTGTTCATTCATAAATTATTTTCTGAATAAAACATGCTAAAATTGATTACTTTTTTTTTGTTCTAACAGAACTTCAATTTGTTTAAGTGGATATACAATTATTTTCAGCCCTCAGGACTGGTAAAGGAGGTTTTTAATTTTTTGAAAAATGTTTTGGTTCGATATACCATTTCAATGAATTTACTCAAGACTTCTCCCACATCCTTAACTCTCACTTTTTCAACTGAGTCATCGAATTAAAAATAATAGAAATAATCTTAATTTTATTAAAGGTTATATTTCCAGGAAGAATGCATAAACACTTTATATAAACATATACATGAAACAAATTAAATATTCATAAAATAGTGGTTTATTATTGTAAACAAGTTTGTAATGTGAAGGGGAGAAATAAGTTGGAGCTGTGTCATTTTTATCTGTCCAACTTCTACGGAATGATTCTCCTCAGATCAAATATTTACTTGGGTACAAATCTGAATATTATTTTAATTATAGAATAGTTAATGGCTTGTCAGGATAAAAGCTCTAAACTATAATATATTAAAACGTGTTTGTGTATTTTATTGGTTAATTAGCCTCTACCTCAACAGGTACTTATGGCAAGAGAATTACCATACAAACAGCAGACCGTTAAGATTTAGAAACCTAGTATATTATTAAAATAAGGGACATTTCAATAATAGATGTTTAGTTTGGAAAAAGTTGTGCATCCTTCACCTGATCGATTACATTTCAAAAGTGATCGAATTATTGGTCTTATTTATTGTCAGTTTAATGTTTTTAAACTTTTTTCTTCATCATAATAGGATTTAATTTGAAATGATGAAAATGGAAATCCATGAGTGATTCGGCAGCAGTAGTAATGTCAGTGATTCGCTGACATTTATATATCAGAGTAATGACAACTTTAAATGTGTTATTCAGTTTTTAACCAACTAAATTTTTCGTAAATAAAAGACTAAAAATGCATTCAGATTTGTAATTAATAATTAAATTAATAAAATTTTAAAATTTCAATCGTTTTTAACATATGCTTATTCGTGATTAAATATTCTGAATAAAGATTTAGTCATTTTTTTATACCAATAAATTTTCATTCAACTAATGCCCAACTCTGACTAGTAACAATCTAAATATATTTTTAAAGGAAATGTCAAAGAAAAATTATATAAATGGAGTTCAAGGATAATTCTAAGACTATAGAAGGAACATTAAAAATATTGAATGAAATTTTGTTAAGTTCTAATTTTTAAAAAAACCAACTAGATGGCATAAATAACCTTCAGAATTTATTGAATAAGTAAAAAACTATTTATCAAGATATCTTAAATAAGGTCCAAGCCAACTGAAATTTATTATTAAATTTAAATAACAAATTATATCACAGAAGAAGAAATTACATTTAATATATTTAGTGTATTTTTTGTATATTCTTACATGGATTTGATAGATGGACCACTCTAGATATGCAGATTAACCAACTCACAACAGCTAAAATTAAATTATTGGGTTTTCCGGAAAATAATGCAGTTTTGTGGTTTAAAAAGAAAGAAGAAAGATTTACAACTGTTTTATTTAATCAAAATAGTCTCCACTACTATCAATACATTTCTGCATGGTTGTTGGCAACTTTTCCATTCCCTTGGAATAGAACTTCCCATCTTTAGAATTGATATAACTCCACAAATGCATTTTCTAATTTCTTTGTCCATTTAATTTTTTGTTACGTAAATAGTGGTCCAGGAGTCTAAAAAAATGATAATCTGTAGGCGAGAGGACTGGAGAGTGGGACGGATGAGGCAGTTTCATATCCAAGCTCCAACAATTTTTGTAACGTCACACGTGAGACATGTGGCTAGATGTTGCAATGCAACAAAATGGGACCCTTCTGGTTGACCAAAGATGGCTTTATTATTGCCAATTTCTGATGTATTGCTTCAATTTGGTTACAATAGGATTCAGCATTGATGGTTTCTCCAGGATTTAAGAAGCTGTAGATTATCAAACCAAATGAAGCACACCAAACAGTAACCATCACTTTTTTATGATTTGAGGGTATTGGAAATGTTCTGCTGCTTTTCCTTTGTTGAGCCACTGTCCAGAATGTCTGCTGTTATCGTTAAGTATCCACTTTTCATCACAAGTAACAATTCTAGGCAGAAAAGTGGATTTTATTTCGGCAAAGAAATGTAGCATCAACTTCATAATGCTAGTTTTTTTGGTGGTCGTTTAATGTGTGTGGATTCCAATTTGCAAGGTACTTTCCAATCACATTAAGATAGTCATCAATGGTCAATTTCCTAGGTTAAGTTTCCCTGCAAGTTCTCAAATAGTTGTTCTGGGGCTTTCTTCCATCAAAGCATGCAGAACATTGTCATCAAGAGACGAAGTCCTTCCACGACTTTGTTTTTCTTCCAGGCTGAAATCTCTGTCCCGAAATTTTTTGAACCACTGTTGAACAGTGCACTCATTAATGCTGCTCTCACTCCAGACTTGATTGATATTTTTGGCCATCTGTGCCCGATTCCAGCCGAGTTTAAACTACTTGTAAAACAAAAGATATCTTAGTAAGACCGAATTATTTCTAAGCAGTGAAATGCTACAGAAGTAAATAAACATTATCGTTTAGAAGAGGATTAATAAGTGTTGACATTTACAAATGAATCCAGTAAAAGTGAACAGTTTCTTATATGGAGGGGAATATTACCACAGAAAACATGAGTATATCTGATGTTATAAGTAAAATAAGCAGTTAAGATAGTTCAGCCACATTTGCAGGAGAGGAGATAAAGATCCAAACAAGATCTTCACAATCTCAACCAACTAAAAGATCTCAGATTTCTTAACAGTCATGTATCACTAACAAAGAAAAGTAAAGAGAAAATGAAATAATTTGCTCAAGATTAATAAGAATAGCATGTTGGTGCAAGACAAAGCTGATTTGGAAGAGTAACAATAAATAATTTCTATACATTCATACTCATTGATAGTTTCTAGAAATGGACTTACAAAAAAAAAAAAAAAAAAAAAAAAAAAAAGGATGCAGTCATAAAGTTTTTATTGGTGACAATGTTTCAACCCAAACATGTGGGTCATCATCAGGGCAAGCTTTTCGAGCACTGAAGGTATTCGAGTACTGCAGGTACTGAACCCACATGTTCGGGTTGAGACGCCGGCACCAATAAAAACTTTATAATGACTACGTCTTGAATATTTATCAACCATGATACGTAGAACAGTCGACTAACTTCCTTCAATAAGCCATTTAAAAGTGTAAACAAATGTCTACGACTTAGTAGGTTTAATGAACCCACAAAAAAAAAAATTATTTAAGTAAGTTAAGAACAACTCATAATAATCTATTATTTGAAAGATAATTTTAATGAGTAATATAAAACTATCAGATTGAAGCATTCTCATAAATATCTAAGACACATACATTTAATAAATAAGAAAAACTTTTTCCATGATGTCATAAGACATTTAACATTTCTGATTACATGTATATTGTATTAATTAATTTTAATCAATAAGTAGATATGATAGAAGTAGATAGAATTAAAAGATGAGAAACAAATATTCAAAACTAAATGTGATTCTTATATAATAATCCTTTAAAACAATATGTGATCAGAAATAAATTAAATAAAAAAGTGATAAGGATATAAAAGCATAACATCCACATGCATGACATGCAATAAAATTAATGAGATAAATATTTTGAATGAAAGTGTATTTAAGATCATACATTCTATATATTCATCATTCTATACAACTAATGAAATATTAATTAAGGTTCAGGAATTTGATACTGTAATAAAAATAAATATGCCCTTAATAAATAAATATTGTAAGAGATAGTCAGGGGCTAAAAAATGAACGAAGATAGAACAATATTTCTTAAGATGACACCAAGAAAATATGGCTAATTCAGTCATACTTTAATTACATGACACAGAACAATTATTTTGAAACAATCAGGAGTTTTTATGAGCAGAATCAAGTTTCAAAACAAATAAACCAGAAATTTAATTAAGCGAGTGTTTTGAAATGTGGAGGTTATAGTGGTTGAATTCATTATCAAGAAAAAGTAAAAATAATTAGAAAAATAAATTGGTAGCTAAACAACCGTAAGCAATTATTTTATTTGTATATATACTAATGTAAGAGAACTTACATTTTATTAAGAGGGTTATATTGATTTATATAAAACAATTAAATAAATTATGTAACAATTTTTTAAGTTTAATTTTTTTATAGTAGTAAGTACTCTTATAAGTTTAATTCATGCATAACTATATAAATCATTGCCCAGCACCTCTATAAAAATTAGTATAATAAAAGCCTCAAGGAAATAT